CTGTCGTTGGCACCGTCGGACTTGCCGCTCTTGCCAGCGTGACCCTTTGCCTTGGCCTTCGGGAGCACAGGAGCGGCGTCAGGTCCATTGGATTTCCCCTTCTTGCCTTTGCCACTCTGGCCCTCCTGCTTGCCAGCAGCCGGAGCTGCATCTTTGCCGCCTGATCTCATCATTGACTTGACCGACTTCTCCTTCATGTCGAGCATCAGATCCTCGCGATCCGATTTGATTTGGTGGTCAATCAATGCCAGTAAGAATTCATACGACTTTTGAGGATGTTTGTCTGGCAGCCGATGATAGGCATTCAGACCAAATTCCATCTTCCTGCTCCCTTTGATCTTTCTATACAGAATATCTCTGAGGGCCAGCATGCTGGGTCTATCCTCGCTCCTCATCTTCAGCGGCAAATCATACCACTTGTTCCTGAATGCAACCAAATTCTTGTCTCCAGGGAAGTCAAGGTTGAATAAGTGCTCGATGTGGTAGACAAGGTCCGTTCGATCAGATGTCCTGAATGATTGCATAACCAATGCCACCAACTCTCGTCCCTTCACGATCACCCCTTGTTGATGTCGTAGTTCCGAGTGTCGCGTAGCGGCGAGGTACACGTCTTTGGCTTCGTCAGGTGCTTGTCTCAACATGTTCTGCATTCCCATGGCCATTTTGATATCTATTGTAGCGAATCTATCGCCGCCGAAGTCGCTCAGCAGATTGAGGTCTGGGTTCAACCCAAGAGCCTGTTCCAACCATTTCGTCCATGCGTCGGTATCTGGATCTGCGCATGCACTTAGCACATTCATCAGCAATTGCATTTTCCAGTTGTCGAGCTGATGGATCTTTGGCCAAGGGGGGGATAGATACCCTCTCAGCTTCTTTCCTTGAAATCCTCGGTCTCTCGTTCTTGATCTCGCGATCATCCCTCAATCTCCTGCGCCCCCTCCGTGTCCGATTATCATCTTCTTCTTCTTCCTCGTCCTCCTCATCCTCTTCGTCGTCGTCATCCTCGTCCTCATCGTCGGGTGGATCACCTGGAGGTCCTCCCCCACCACCTGTTAGGCTCAATTGACGTCGATCTGGCCCTTGTCGATTTCCATTGGGCGAGAATCCACCGTAATCCAATGGGGGTGTAGTACCGTCGTTTCCACCTCCATTACCACCACCACCAGTCGTAGTAGCGGATTGTGGGATACGCCCAACAACCCCTTGCATCTGTGATAGGTGTACATCGATCATTGGATCACCGAAAGACGGAAAGAGAATCGAACCTGGCACTAGCGACAAATTAGGGATCAGATTAGATGATGATGACGGGTGTAACCCAGTCACCTTCTTGTCTTCCCTAGCCGAACTAGTTTGGGGTCCTCCCTCAGCGCGTTTCACTACTGCTCGTTCACGATGTCCATCCTTACTGCTCGAGGCTTCCTGGGGCTCCAGCTTCTTGAGTGTCCTGAGCTCCTCATTATCCGCATCGAGCTGACGAACGAAGCTCTCTTCTTGTTTGAGCGTCGCCTCCCGCTCCTTCAGTTATCCCTGAAGTTCGCGCATCTCCTCGAGGTACTCGTCATACACTCCTTTAGCTGTCATTTTCCAGCACTCGGCCTCTTTCGATTTCTCGTCCATCGTGCACCAAACTCTTGTTTGTGCTTCTCTGACCTGGGCCAATTCCAAGATTGCATCCTGACGATGACCACCCTCGATAGCAATCATCTGATTCTTCTTCGACACGTCGGATTCATACTGTTTGATGATCTCTTCCTTCTCGCGAAGCAAGCATTCTGCTCTTTTCGATTCTTGCTCTGCAAAAGTCGTAACGTCGTTCAGTCTCGTCATCAGCTGCTCCCTGGAGTCCTCCATCGAGTACACCTCGGGGCGTTTGACGAGTGCATGTTCCAACTGTGATTTCAGACTTCGAACCATCTCCTCTTCGTTGAACTTCTCGATAGATGTAGATGATTCAATACCTCTGATCTGTTGCTGATAAACTGATATCTGTTGTGAAGCCTCACGGCGTATCTGATTTGCATGTATTGCTGATTCCTGTGCAGCCGACTTCTCGCTTGCCATATAGGATCTCATCACTGCAATCTCCCGTTTCTGCTCCGTTATAGTTCCCTCAGCTTGTCTCATCTGTAGCATCATAACATTCGACTCCATGTCCTTCTTCTCCCCGTATTGATATGCGTTTATTTCCACCTTGCGCATCTGTTGGGCTTCCTCCTCAAACTTGCGCCAGGCCTCCGCCATGTGATGTTGGTGATGACTTACAAGATGTCCCGATTGCTTGCTGGCAATCTCACATCGTCTCTCCAGCTCTTGGATCCGGATGGTGCTCCCATAGTCTTCTTGGTGAAGATTCGCCATTGCTGCCGACATTTCATCAAGTGTCTTCTGATACTCCCCGATCTCCATCTCCATCTTATTCTTTTCTTTGATCGCGGCGCGAAACTCGGCACTCGTGGGTGATTTGGATCTCCCACCTTTCGATGTCGACCTCACGCCCTTCTGCGACGTCCGCGGTGTCGCAGGTGAAGATGATGATCTTCTTGGTGGAGATTCTCTTTGCTTCGACTCCTGATGAATAGCGATCTGTTTCCATGACCTCGTAGGTGTAGACATATCGCTGAATAGTGCGGATCCTCCGCTCCCAGGTTCGTCCTGTGAATCTGCAACCAAATCCATCACCGCAGGAAGAGCCATCAATCCATTTGATCCCTCTGAGCTGTCGTTCCCAAAAGTTGCAGTACTTGGGCTCGCTGAAGATGCCATTGTACCGTGTAGGTTATTGTCCCTCTATTGTTCCTGTACCCGCAATAAACCAGCTGTCTCTCCGTCCAGTGTAGAGCTTGCCGATACGGCTGATAACCTGTCAAGAGACGGCAAGGTGACGTCCCGTGGGACGCTGTCCACCGAACCCTCCAGCTTTGTACCCAACCACGTAGAAAGGTGTATACGGTCAAACCGTTATAGCCGAACCCGTGTAAACTGTTGTAAGGGATAAGAACCAATAACCACGATGGTGTTCCCGGCAGCTGCAGCACGAATGAAGTATTTTCCACTCTCTATGGTCGATCACGTACAAACGTAGTTCATGCAAGACCTTGAGCCCTACTCGTGACTTGAGCCAAATTTGGCAATCAATGGAACCATGTAACCAACACCAACACGGACCTCAGAACAGCTTCCCAATTTAGGCACGGGGCCAGGAGGGTTTTAACAAGAAGAGTTTCGATCTTGGATGTGAATATGAGGAACTCACTGTTCTGCCTCCGAAAATTAAAGAAACTGAGGAGCCTGTAAAGATACACGTTCGTGGTACCCTTCAGGACGTACTGCTTCAGCGTGTTCAGTTGACAATCCAAGCGTCAAAGAAAGCCTTTGCCAAGCAAACTTGGTTGAAGACTTGATTTCGCTTACCCGAAAATACGGCCGCTTCGTGGTCAGTTGGCCTTTATGGATACATGCTCACACACACAGGCAGCCCGCACTGGGCCAGATCCTTTTTCGGCAAAGATTTCTATACACTGGTCAGCGGACATCTCACAAGCCGCAGTTTCGTTCTTGCCTCCCTGCGAAAGAGCTGGGGGAACGAGCCCTTAGGGCTTCAGCCGTAAAAAATCCACGATTTGGCCATGTTCCACTTCTTAAAAAAACCTGAAGGCCTATCAAACGAGCTAATTCAATGCCCTAAACAGAATATGCCTGGGGCTGCCCTCAAAGACGTAGACTTAAAGCGTCCCCCCGCGCCTTCGTTGCGGCTGTGATTGCGTGTCGAGGCGACGGTTGCACAGCAAAGCCGTGGGCTCAAAACCTCTGGGCGAGGCTCAGGCAGTTTCACTGGGCATTTGCCTCAGTCCAGAAGGATCTGGTAAGAGACGTTTTTGCAGTAAAGCTCCACTTGTCACTTCAAGTTGTCACAACCTGAAGCTTGAAGAGTGCAGGTTGGCAAGCAGCTTCGCCACGACAATGCTCACACCCTGTTCAATGCCAGAGCGGCCCAATGCGCGCGCGAGCTGGAAACTGAATGTTGCAAGGTTTCAGTTCCGAATGTTGGAGAATCAACCGCATCCTCGTTCACGAAACAATTTGCGGATGCGGGGATGCCACTGGAGGACTGCATTCTGACACTGGACGCATGTCTTTCAACCGGGGGAAACTGTTGCCTGGATCAGCGTGGTGTTCACCCATACGAATCAAAGCCTCAGGTCCACAAACCCACAGCCATCTGATTGCATGATTTCAAAGTGCCACGTGAACTGCTTGCAGTCGAAACTTGACCAGGCTTACAAAGCGCTTGTCAAGGAGTGCCAGCCGCATGCCCTTCACGAGGGGCGGGGGGGTGGCAATCAAGGCAATCATTCTGAGCCTCAGGACGGGCAAGCAATCGCTTCATGTAACAAGGCACGAGGTAAAGTAGCAAAAGAGCGCTCACACTGAACAAAACCGCCTCTGCAAGCCCGCGCTGAACCCGCGGGGGAGTTTCCCCAAAAGGGCCTGACATTCTCGCAGTTGCAGTCAAGGTACAACTGGTCGCTTGCAGGGGGCCGAACACAGGCTTAAGCCCCTTTCCGCAGCCTGCCTGGGGTTATGTGAAAGGTCGCGCGATGAATGCGCCGTCTCCCGCACTTGCGAGGGAAGCACGGCTGGTAGCTGAGACTGGCCATTTGGAGGGCAGGAGGCCACATGCGCAGCATAGCATTGCGACAAGGGCTCAGGAGCACATGCTCCACAGCCAAAGCGGCATGACCTTGTTGCTAGGAAGTGGGATGCCTAGTTGGAGCTGACCGCGCTCACGCAGCGGCGCAAGTGTTCTTTGGCACATGGCTCACGGTCTGAGCCGTCTGACTCCAAGTGACACGATAACCCCGTCAAAGACAGGCCGGGCCCCTGCAATTGCCAACAATTGCACAAGGTTTCCGGCTTGAAGAAAACACCATGATCCAGGCCACATTTTCATGCAGCCCAGGTTGCCATCAAAGGTCCGCACCTACATGTACAGCTTCTCAGCTGCCAAAGGATTCTGGTGAAAGTGACGATATTTGCGCACGTAAAATGATGAGCAGCTGGCTTGTTGCTTTCAGCGCCATTGCCGCCTGCTTTTTGCCTTTTCCAGACCTGCTGTGTACGACTGACGTCTGCTCCCAATACACTGTGCTAACGGCCAGTGTTGAGGAGTGGCACATGTTCCCATGGGTGTCAGCTGGCAGCTGATTTAGGCCGCGTTGTGTTGTTTTGTTTAAAGTAAAGGCCAAACCGGTCTTCTTTAGCAAGTAGATTTTCTGGATACAAGTAAGGTCGCGTTTTGGGGCCCTATGTAAGTCCACTTCAACTTCAAGTTCTTCGGAGTGCTGCGTGAGTTGCGCGCGCCTGGCCTGGATTTCAAAGACGTGCCGGCAAAATTTGCTGTTCACAGTAAGTACGGTCGAATTCAGAGAGCCCCCCATCGCTTTCCAGCGTTTGGTCTATAACGCAAAGTTGTCGTTTTTTGAGAGTCCCCTATCGTTTTCCATGGTTTCAAGCACCTTGAACTATATGGATGTCCAAGTGTAGACTACTTTCCTTTTCCGTAAATTCTGACCGCGCTTCAAATGGCAAGCAGCCAGACCAGGCGAACTCTATGATATTGCAGCACGCATACGCAGGATTCCACATGCAAAACTGGCCTGCGCCAGCAAGCACGCGCCGTGGCGTGGATCCTTGCTCGCTTTTGTCACGCGGGCTTTACAGGGCAAACGGAGGAGATGCTGCTGCAGAATCCAGAGAAACCTGCAGGAAGGTTTGAAGCTGTCGTCTTGTTTAACTGATGGAAAACATTGCTTGCAGGACAGCATCAACTGAATTCCCGCTTAGCACTGCAAGCGGCACAAACGCATAAACACCTTCAAGAAGCGCAGCGAACAAAGGCAGTCAGGCCGGCCCCCGGGCCCGGAGCAGCCCTGTGCTGCGTCAGAAAGCCGAGTCATCGTCCAGGTGCCAGGCAATACCCCGACTGAACCAGCTGCGAAGGCTGCGCAACACGAGCCCCGCAAAAAGCGGACAGAGGCTGTTGCCTCAATCTATTGCCTCAAGACGTGGCGGGCGAATGTTTTTCAAGCCTCAGATCTGTGCCTAAAGAAACCCGCAGGCAAAGTGGCCGCAGTCTAGAGCAGCTGGCCAAGCCGGCTGCAAAGGATCACCTTGGGTGCCACGCTGCCTCAAGTGGCCACACCTGAGGAGATGGGAATGAGCAAAAGCAAGTATTAGCTTTGTGCCATGTTCCTGACTAAGGGGCGCAGGCGGGGTAAACAAACAAACTGTTCTTATGCGAGGGCTGAAGCGATGAGTAGGCTTTGTTGACAAAGGCTGGCCGACAGGAAAACCTGAACCTGCTGAGAGCAAAACCCTGGACACGTCTGCAAGCTGAGAGTCTTCGACAACGCCGGCCTTCACAGGCATACGCGCCTTGTGAGCGCATGGTCAGCTGGCAAGTCAACAAGAATGGATCTGCAGCGTAGTCTGTAAGAATAAGAATCTTCTATAAGTCGTCAGCCGACATCTCCTTCACTGCCCTCACATCGCCGCTTTGCTTGCGCGTGCGGGCAACAACTTGAGGAAGCGTGCCGGGCAAGCAACAACTAAAGGCAAAACCAATGGGGTATCCAAAAAAGCCAGTATTCTATTCGATTTCTGCGAAACCCAAGCCTCGCCCACAAACTTCTGCAAACCCTGGCCCCTTCTGCAAACTTCTGCCCTGGCACCCCGCGTGATCTGCAACCCCCACGCCCCCTCTCGTGAAGTTTCTGTCCCCTCCCCCCTTCTCACGCACTCCTGGCCCCGCTTCTGCGAACAGGTCCCTTACTGGGCAGGGCTGGGCAAAGCCTAGTTGTGTTTGGTGTACACACTTTGGGGATTGGAAGGGAAACCAGTGAAAAAGCGGGAATCTTTGGCGAGGGTCCCTGCTAGAAACATCCATGTGGGTAGTAAGAAACATCCATGTGGGCAGTATATCCAAAGTTTTGCTGACCCTCCAGAATCCGTGAAGCTGGATCTCAGACCTTGCGTCGCGACGCTTCCAGGGCAAAAGCGGGCAGCGACAAATCGGATCGACGTGAAGCCGCGATTCGGCCATTTCACGCTCAAGCACTGCACCATCGCAAGCCAACGCCATCAACTCTGAAGCTTCAGCCTTTGGGCCGCTCAGTTTCCCAGGCAACAACAAACACTCCGCAACCCTGTCTGAGCTCCTGCGAGCATCACAAGAAGGCCTGGAAAGCAGGTCTGGCTTTTCGCCAAGCGCAGCCGGCGCAAGCAAACGGCGATGGGAGCCTTGAGCATCCGTCTACGTGGCTAGAGATCGAAGCGCCGCGAAATCACCGCGCATCGCACTGGAGCTGTGTGACATTGCCTGGGCCAGGCCATGGATTGCATGCAAGTGGAATGTGCTGGGCAGGCAACCGAAGACTCGAAGACAACCCCATTCAAGCCCACCGGTCCATCAAAATCTTCGGTTGGAGGTCTGGGCACGGGAGCTCCTCGAAAAGATACGGGAAAGGCTTGACAGTCGCCAAAAACAACAGCACCCAAACAAAAAACATCCTGCCAGTTGTGAACCCTTGCTGGTTGAAAAAGGACTTCGTGACAAATTGCAACAGACTCCTTGCCCACCCATGCCCCAGTAGTCGCTTTGCACCCTCAGGAACCTGAGCAGAGTCGCATAAACTCGCTTGGGCCTTTGCAATATTGAACCCTAGACTTTGGCTGCACGGTGGCCCAGCTTAATCTTGCTGGCCTTGCTAAAATGCCGCAACTGGACCAAGCTTGGAGGTCAACAAACTCAGCTGGTGCCACACGCTTGCAGCTTTCCTGCAGGGAGCTCTGCTTCTGCCGGTGCGTGCACTCTTTGCAATGAATCCGGATTTGGCAAGCGGCGGCGAAACTTGTTGGGCACAAAACAGCAAGTTTCCTGACTTAGGAACCGGGCTTCAGGGTTCTGAATCCCCAATATCCGCTGCTCGGCCTGAGCAATGCAAATCTTTAGCGCCAGTTGTCTTACCATGGACTCAGCTTGAAAGATAAATTGAAGTTATGGCCGACATCAGTCCACGCGAAATGCGGGTGCCTGATTGATTTGGGTCCTGCACCGAAAGCCTACTAGTGACAGGCTGAAACATTCGCTCTGCAAAAGCGCTGACGGGGAGGGCGTGAACTGGAAGTGCTTTCTTGGAGCCAATGCACGCCTCTTGCGTTTGCTACTGCCACCGGCGGCTCACCGCAAGTGCCGAGCGGCCCCCACGACCCTGAGGGTCCAAACGAAGTGTCACGAAGCAGGCATCTGCGAGCTCATTGAACCTCTCGGAGGAGCGTTGGACACGGTCTAACTGGTTGCGGCATCCTTTTAATTGAGCAGAATTCGAGGTTTGCCAAGTGAAATTGTGGATGTCATTGCACCGCGTGGTATAAAAGTGGAGTCGCCCTGGATTCCGAGCAATCAGGCGAATCCGGAGGCATGCCCTCCCCGTCAGCGCTTTCACCTCTCGGAGGGGCATTGGACACGGTCTACCTGGTTGCCAGGCCCGAGCATCTTCGCAGGGCATTCGCGCCCGTACGCCGTCTAAGGCCAAAAGGATCAGGTAGAGGTCACAGGGAGTAATTCCTGACTGCCCTCAAGAAGGCAGGGCAAGGGCTGACATCAAAGCTGTTCAAGTGAGCCGTGCCAAATACTCTTGTGTAAAAAGCGGTCCTATAAACTTGCTTTCGCGGACCCTTTCGCGATGCTTTCGCGCCCCAATGTTTTGCTTTCGCGGGCTTTGGTTTCTTTAGAATTGCTTTCGCGACGCTTTCGCGGCGGACCGTCACACAGCATGCAGGCTTTCGCGGGTCTTTCGCGGCGGGACCTTCTTTGGTTTCTTTCGCGATAAGCTTTCGCAAGCTTTCGCGGCCTGCGGTTTGGCTTTCGCGGGGATTCTATAGGACACCCCCCTTTACTACTTTGTATTGTCAGGGTTTATGGCGCGGCTCAAGTCACATTTTGGGCACAGGAAGCCTGCTGTGCGTGGCAAGGCAGGCATCCAAGCTTGATGCAGCAACTCAAGTACTCCAGTGCTCTGCAGAAGTCACTACCTAAAGCACTCTTCAAGAGAGCACGTTGGCAAACAGCCTGGTGTACAACCCAGCTTGGCCACGACAATGCTTCTGATGAGTGGAAAAGAAACACCATAAGCCATGGGTTGCACCGGGTCGACCAAAGCTCCGCTCACGGCTACTGGATTGCCTTCTAATGCTCCTGACGTGGCCGCCCAAAACCGGGACCCAAGCCGGGAAGGAGGTGAATATTGGAAAGATCATATTCCATAGCCAGGATTTGTGTGACTTGAGTGCATCATGGGCGCTGTGAAATCAGGTACGACCTGCGACAAGCCTAAGGTTCATGGACTTGTACCCAACAAACTATAACGAATCAAGCATCCAAAGTTGAAGGAACAAAGGCGGCCCCTCCAAATGGTGGTCGTTCCTATTTGCCACACCAGATGACGCAGGCCGGCCCCCACTCCTGCCGCCGGGCACGTCCAGTTGCCGCAGCGATCAGCAGCACAGCTGCAGGCGTTGGTACCTGACAAGGACAAAGACTTTCCTGCCTGGACTGGAAGATGGTAGGGCAGGAAGATTTGCCAAACGCACAAAGAGGCGTAGAGTTTGATGTTTTTGGTGGGATATATTCTTCTCTGACACTTTCAAGAACATGAACTTATCAAAGCGCTCTTTGGTGTTTATTCGGACTTGTAATTTTAGCTTACAGCGGCCACCTGGTCGACCAAGGCAGCTGACTGCAGGCCTTCGTCCGATGCAAAGATGAACCGCGCCCAGGTCCAGCAACCTGGCCGTGTCCCAGGCATTGTATTCACAAGGCGGGGTGTCCCTCGTGGGTCCATAATATCGTGCTCGCACCAGCCCGTGCGCCCCCAACCAAAGTAGTGCCAGAAAGACTGTCAAAATGCGATTCACACGAGCTTAGATTGTGGCTGCACCTGACAAGTTTCGCTGCCTGAAGTGTAGTTCGCTGCCAACCATGCATGCCGAGCATATAAGCTGGAGGTTTTGAAGAATACTGTTGCGGAAGAATGACTTCTCGCAAAAAGATTGTGTGGGCATCAATAACCTGTGATTTCATGAGTGTCCTTGCTAGGTTCACGTCTGGATTTGTTTTGACCCTTCTTACGCTTGGCCCTGCACAGCTCATGTGGCATTTTCTCCAAAGCTTCAGTGAACCAGCTGCACTTGGTTTGCACTTTAGTGCTTTGCTTTGCACCCAGCCGGGTCAGTCCTGCAAGGACATGGGAGCACGTATTTAACCAACGCTGCGTTACCGCACAAGGCCAATCATTCCTCGTGGCTGCTTCGGAGCGAGCGCTCGCGCGGGTCTGTCAAGAATCGGCCGCGTCTCGCAGAACGCGAGTGTCCTAAATGA